GAGGATGGGGGGCGGGGGGGCGGGGGAGGACAGAACCAGGTGGACCATTTAGCAAATAAGAGATATTTATTTATGACAGCGATGAATTTATGGTATTTATTCTAAGATTTTTAATAGACCGTGTTAATAATGAATTTACAGTATTTATTATATTCTACAATTTCTAGTTAAACGTGTCAGAAATATAAGGATGGGAATGGCAAGGGGAATACTCTCTATTCTAAAAATATCCAGCTACACTAATTAAATAACAGTGATAACTACAAACTCTGTGTACTACTCAGAACAACTACAACACTAAGCTTATACAACAAAGAAAATCAAATCATACATATGAACTTGCACAGCACACAGAACATTTCAAAGATATCGGTTCGGTTGTGAAAGCCTTGGTTATGCCCGAGAGTCGGGGGAGGTGGCTGGTCGGTTGATCAGGCCGGCAGCGCTTTGAAGTACAGGCAGTCCCTGAGTTATGCGGATCCGACTTATGTCGGATCCTCACTTACGAACGGGGCTTTCTTGCTCCGGAGCTCGCAGGCAGCAATCCGCCACCTCGACCTCCGGGGTGAGAAAGCCCCATTCGTAAGTGCGGATCCGACGTAAGTATTTAAAATATTGTTACAAATGCATAATATGATTGGAACAACTTTACTGTAACTGTTCTGCTTAACTCAAACCAGAAAACAAATAGTACTGAAGAGCATCAATGACACATTCCAGCTGTCCCTAATAACTGCCACCTCCTACCTCACTAGTTTCGTTTACAAAGTATGTCAGGGTTTAAGGGGATAAGTCTCCTAAACCAATATAAAATATTGTTACAAATGCATAATATGATTGGAACAACTTTACTGTAACTGTTCTGCTTAACTCAAACCAGAAAACAAATAGTACTGAAGAGCATCAATGACACATTCCAGCTGTCCCTAATAACTGCCACCTCCTACCTCACTAGTTTCGTTTACAAAGTATGTCAGGGTTTAAGGGGATAAGTCTCCTAAACCAATATTCTGCATTGATCATCATAGCAGGAATCAAGTTGGACAACGACGAGGAACACCAGCTGCAGAAGGAGGAGGATATTGGCAGCGGCAGGGCCTGGGATCTCCCAGGCATCATCTGATGCTAGGGAGGGATCATCAGGTAAGTGCTCTCAATTTGTCACACACACAGTTGGGGGAAGTGGGCTCAGAGGAGATGGAGTGCGATCATGGCTCAGCATGCTCGGCCTGGTGACCGTGCTGCTGTCTGTGCATGTGCAAGCATATGCAGCGGCAGTGTGCACCATGTGGTCTCTGGAGCCAGCCCCAGAGCACACACAGGCTGCTGCAGGCCCCACACACGTCAAACCCCTGGGAGGTGCTGCCAGGTGCAGGTCTGTGTGTGGGCCCCAGGGAGGGCCAGGCCACTCCAGGCCCCTCTCCCACACATGGGATCCCACTGTGGCCAGACACTTCTCTGGCATGCTTGTCCATGGGGGGTGGGGAAGGGGGAAGCATGGTCCCCTAGGCACCTTGGGTCTACTGTGAGCCAGAGCCTGCTGTGCAGCCCACACATGGCCTTGCTCTTGGGACATCACCGTCCCCAGCTCCAGGGACAGTTGATCGCTGCTCACAGAGGAGGGCACAGCCTCAGGGACAATGTCTGCATGGATGACTGACCGCCTCTCCCTCTTTTCCTTCACAGCTGGACTAGCTGTCGCTGAGGGGCAATCCACGCCATTACAGACAGCCACTCAAAACCGGGGGAGCTGCAAGCACTGGAGGGTCCATGAGTACCTCATGAGAAAGCACATTGCAGTCCTGCGTGACATGCAACAAACTCTGGCCAAAATGTATGGGATGATGCCGAGTGGTGCAATCGCATGTGAGACTAGCTTGTGCAGCAGGGTGAAAACATGGGTACCACCATCTGGAAAGTGATGGCACCCCTGGCTCCTGTCCCCCCTCTAGCCCTTCCCCCCTGCTGCTCCCCCCACTCCCACCTCTTCCACTTCC